TCCAGTGTTCTGAGATTCTTAAGGGCCAGTATTGGAACACTGTGGGGAAAAGGTTCAACAATCAATAGTGTTCCTTACAGTGAGATGCTCACTGAAGAGCTGACGCCTAAACTTCAGATTAAATACAGAATTGCTACGCAAGGGCATTGTGATCTTGCATGACAATGCACGTCTGTCCGCAAAACCTTTGAGATGTTAAAGTATCTTACCTATAGTCCTGCTCTCCCTCCATTGGAGTTTTACCTATTTGGGCCCCTGAAAGCAGTCTCCCTCCACTGCCAAAGCTGCTCACAAGGTAGTGGAGCGGCCTCTTGCCAAATGCTCACCAGTCAATCTCCCTCTCTTCCTATCCCCGCTGAGCTTCTCCTCCCAACAAGCACTCCATCCACCTCTCTAACCTTTCTTCTGAAGTTCAGGGTGCCAGAATTTTTATCTGTATTTGTTTCATTTGGTCTCTCGTATCTTTGTTGTAGAGGGTCTGTGAAGTATGTCTGCCTAGTCCGCATCTTGCTGGAAGCGAAGCACATTATTCTTTAGTTAAAAACAAAACAAAACAAAACAAAAAAACCCTAAAAAACCTGAAGCTCCAGGAAAACAAAAAGATGTGCAAGAAAATTGGTACAAACAAGATCCAAATTAAATTGTGGTATGATTATATTCAAGGAGCCCTGGTTGCTTCTTGGTTCGGTGCTTGACGAGTAACTGAAAGTTTGGCAGTTGAAACCTATCCAGCAGCTCCACAGGAGAAAAGACTTGGTGATCTGTTACCGTAAAGATCACAGAAAGCCCTATTGGACAGTTCTACACTGTCAGACAGGGTTAGTGTGAGTCGGAATTAACTCAGTGACACACAACAAGATCTTAGTCAGTTTATGTTGTTGTTGTTAAGTGCATGTCAGTTCTGACTCATGGCAGTCCTCTATAGGGTTTCTGAGGAGCAGCTGTGATTTGAACCACTGACATTTTATGGCTAGCAGTCCAGTTCTTCTCCTACAATACCACATCAGGACCGCATCAGCTTATAGAGTTTAAGAAAAAAACAACAACTTTATCTTAATGTTAAGAATACATTTTGATGAGTGCCCAGGGTTTTGCAACATTGAAGCAAGATCAATAAGAGCGATTCTTGTGCACTATATGCACACGTCTGCAGTGAATAGTTTTTTAGTCACAACAGTAGAGTTCTGATGTGGGGCGGTATGATGAGTAATGGACTGCTAACCTCAAGGTCGGTAGTTCAAATCCAGCAGCCACTCAGAAACCCTGTGCAGGGTAGCTATTATTTGGAACCAACTCAGTGGCACTTAACAGCCACAGTAGTCACAGAAATAAAAGTGTTTATTAATGTTCAATCTGTAGGATAAATTTAGAGACAACATATCAGCGAGAACAGTCCCTGGAGAAAGACAGCATGCTTGATAAAGTGAAGGGTCAGTGAAAAAGATGAAGACCCCCAACGAGATGGACTGGCACAGTGGCAGCAACAGTGGCCTCAAGTGTAGTAATGATTGTGAGGGTGACTCAGGACCGGATAATGTTTCATTCAGTTGTGCATATTGTCACTATGAACTGGAACCTACTCAGCAGCACCTAACAACAACAACAACAAGGTTCAGTAGCCATTCTAAAGAATGTTCAGTCTAAATTTAATCAGAAGGTTGAGGAAGGTTATGGAAGGAATGCCTCAGGGACTGTAAAGGTGAATCCATGCAATGCATAGTCTAATTGTTGTTGTGAAGTGCCTTTGAGTCCGTTCTGACTCCTAGCGACCCTGTATAGGGATTCTGAGGAGCAGCTGGTGAATTTGAACTGCTGACCTTTAGCAGTGTTTTATAATTTTTATTACATGTCTTTTCCTCCCTGGTTAAATTTATTCCTAGGTATTTTAGCCTTTTAGATACTTTTATAGAGAGAATTATTTTCTTAATTGTCTGTGTAGCTTGCTGTTCTTAGACTTGCAAATACATCCCTGTGTCTGTCTGTTGTTGTTGTTAAGTGCCATTGAGTTGATTCTGACTCATAGTGACCCTGTATAGAGTTTCCAAGGAGCAACTAGTGAGTTTGAACCACCAATCCGTGGTTCAAACCGACCTTGCGGTCTAGTGCTTTATCCCACCGTGCCACACCAAGACTCCTAGCTACCCTTTATAGGGTTTCCAAGGAGAGGCTGGTCAGTTTGAACTTTCATCCTTTAGCACCACCCAGGACTTCATTTCTATGTATCTTCTCCTTTTTTATAAGGACACCCAATTATACAGGGTTAGAACTCACCCTAATCAGTATAACTTCATGCTAACCTAACTGATAATATCTTCAAAGACTCTATTTACAAACAGAGTCAATTCATATGTTCAGGAGTTAGGATTTCAAGGTATCTTTCTGGGGGACACAATGTATAATAACCTTCAAAGCCTCCCTATTACCTTTCAGGGAAAGTCTGTAATTCAGAGTCTGCCTATTTTCTCTGTTTGTTCTTACCACTTTCTCCCACCATCCCACCTTCTTAGAAACCCACAGATATTCCCTACCCTACTCTCTACCCACATCCCAGGCTGCTGATCTTCCTGAAGTCATCTGAGCACCCTAGGACTTCTTTCCACTGTGCCTTTGAACATCCTGTAACCTTTGCCTGGAATATGCATCCTTTCCTGTTTAAAAATGTTTACTGGACTACTGGAGTCCTGGTGTGGCACTGTAGGCTAAGCACTGGACTGCTAACTGCAAGGTCAGCAATTCAAACTCACCTATATAGGGTCAGCTTGAGGACTAAGGTGCGCCTGACCCAAGTCATGGTATTTTCAGTAACCTCATATGCATGCAAAAGCTGGACAGTGAATAAGGAAGACCGGAGAAGAGTCAATGCATTTCAGTTACGGTGTTGGAAGAGAATATTGAAAGTGCCAAGGGCTGCCAAAAGAACCAACAGACCTGTGTTGGAAGAAGTGCAGCCAGAGTGCTCCTTGGAGGCCAGGATGGCTAACCTTTGTCTCTCATACTTGGGACATATTGTCAGGAGGGACCAGTCGCTGAAGAAGGATATCATGTTTGGTAAGGTGGAGGGTCAGAAAAAAAAAAAGAGGAAGATCCCTAGCGAGATGGATTGGCCAAGTGGCAGCATCAATGGGCTCAAGTGTGGCAACAATAGTGAGGCTTACCCAGGACTGGGCAGTGTTTCGTTCTGTTGTGCATAGGGTCGCTATGAGTCGGTACCGACTTGATGGCACCTAACAACAACAACAAAGAGAATCACTGTGAGTCGGAACTGACTTGAGGACACAACAACAACAGCTCATTCTTCAGATGTTACCATAAATGCTACTTCCTTGGAATCTTGCCCTGATTTTCAACAGTTAAGTAGTTCTTTTGTATGTGTTAATATAGTAATGTATCTGTGAAAATATATTAAGTGGAATAACATGAAATGGTCCTTTTTATGAATCAAGACATGCTTGATATTGTCGTTAGTGTTAAGTGCCTTTGACTTGGTAACAACTCATAGCAGCAACCTTATTTAGGATTTCCAAGACTTCCAATATTTGAAAGATTAAAGCCGCTAGTGGGCTCAAACCGCTGACCTTGTGGTTTACAGTCCAGTGCTTATCCTTGGAGCCACTAGGCTCCCTCCCATGTTTTATATGAATCAGCCTAAAATATTGTTTCGTGTATCTGTCATTACTCCACCCAACAAAAGTCTGTCATTGGTTTAAAGGTGGTAGCCCACTTAGTACCTGTTCATTGATAGATGGATGGACAAATAAATTGTTCTTAAAGACCAAGATTTTCATTAAGAGAGAAAAGTGAGCTTGGAAATCATCAGATTTTCTATTTTAAAATTACATGGTCCCAAAGATTAAGTTTATTTGCATTGTGCAAAAAATAACCAATATAAAACCTATTGCCAGAATATGTCTCCTGATAAATCCATCTTGAATGTCATAGAGGAAGTCACAGGTTACCTCTCAGCAGGCATTTTCATAGTAGTGGAGGGCATCATAGTTGAAGTAAAATAAAAACAGATAATGAATTTTTATTAAAATATTTTGAAATTTAGATACTATAAGATCAAATCATTTCTATGTATAGATTCATATTCATATACATTTATAAACATATATATAGATATGATTATTGTCTTTGAATAAGGGAGATAATATTTAATAGTGGAAAGATTCATTTTCAAAGTGTAGGAGCATACGATTTTATTTCAATGCTTTCTTAAAAAAAAAAAAAAGTCAAAATTACTAGTTTCAGTATTTTAAATCGATCAAGTCCAAATTGGGGTTATAACAAAGATTGCCATCACAATGCTTGGCGTATTTTTCTAAGTTGATGTATCTTGTATGTCATTTAAAAATATATAGAAAGTTTTAAACTCAGTTTTTCTTAATTCATGTATTATAGTTTTGCAATAGTGTTAGTATTTGTCAGGTTCATGATTTCATTTCGTATACATTTCCAATTGAATCTGATTTTATATACTCTATATTTTGGAGTCCTGGTATGGCACTGTAGGATAAGCACTGGAATACTAACTAGAAGGTTGGTGATACAAACCCACCACCTGCTCCTTGGAACCCTATAGAGGGTCGCCATAAGTCAGAACCTAGTCAGTGGCACTTAACAACAACATTATAGATATTGTCACCTTTTAGTGTCATAAATTCTTCAAGTCATCCTTTAGATACATATTCATGTAGCTTGTGTAGAAGTTTCTTTTTTTAAAAAAAACCTTGTCAATTAGATTTCTTTTTTCCACACATGTGGTCAAGGCTCTTGATTTATTCAGACCTGCAAAGATAAGTAAACATTCTAAGTAATGTGGGTTAGTTCATAACGTTGAAAGAAAACAAAAGGTCTAGTTCAGTACAACTCCCTTTCTAAAAAAAAAATTCTACTCCATTTGCAACTCTGACCATGTGGACTTGAAAGGGGTGGTTCCCTGGGCCGGTGCCTGACCTCTGTGGACACCTTAGTCTTTGTGTCAACCTTGCCCACACTACACTCTGCAATGGTATAAATCAGATTTTTGACATCAGTTTCAAAATGCAAGGCACAGCTGCTGTAGTCTGCAGTTTTCAAAAACTTTGGAAACACTGCATATTCAGCAAAATTCATTTTTTGTGTGAATGTAAGTTTGAGGTAAGCCTTGCTTGTTTGGAAAACTCTTACGGTGAGCCAGTGATTTCAAGTTAAAATTTAAGTAAGTGTCATGCTCTCTCTCCCTCCCTTCCTCTCTTGTCTGTATAAGAGAGCAGTTAACTTTGGGAGAAGACCTTGATATTACACCTGTGTTAGTAGGAAGTTGGCGATTCGGATTTCTGTTAAGAAGTCTTTGAACTTAAGCCAGAAGTAAGTTTCCTTTATAAAACAGAAGTGAGAGCTTACAATCATACTGTAAGTATAAATCCTTCATCTCTTCAAATATGTTTTTGATTCCTTTGTTTCTGTTATAGCAGATAACTTCACACACAACCGTGTCTCATTAGCTACTTCACTCTGCCAGATTCCAGACATTTTTTTAAAAGAAAGGCATGTATGGATTGGTAAATGTTACCGTGCAGTCAAGAGTAAACTAAGAGTGCTTTTATGAAAGTCTTCAAAGGTTCTGTGGAAATGCAAAATTTATAAATGCTGTTAAAGATTTTCTCTAGTATGTTTTGGGTCAGTTTCAATAAACTGAACATTATGAAGTTATTCAAGTCAGATTAAAAATAGGCTTTATGAAAAAGCAAAAAGTCAATTCAGGCCATTCCATTTCATTTACTGACTCTTTTATCTTTCAGGTATAATCTCATAAAGTCCATAAGTACATTATCAATGTTCATTAAAAAGAAAACTTATTAGCCTTTTCTCCAGAGAGGTGTAAGATTGCATTACATTATCTGGGAAATGATTTATATTTTCTCTGTTTTTACAAAAATGTTTTCTACTTTTTAAATTTGATCTTTTAGTTTTATCTACTCTTATTTTATTGATGTGTAATAAATATCTAAAATACAGATGCTCTAACCAAATAAAGCTTTCATTAATATACAGGTGTTTTAATTGTAACATTAAAAACAAAACAAAAACAACTATTGTTCTTAGATTATTTGGTACTTTATAATGCCCCCAAGATTTTTCCTAAATTATTAATTTTGAACCATTTTAGGTGCTGTTTCAATCCCGACCTTTTGACCAAGAATGAAACTATTTAAAAATTAATATGCCAACAGGTAAATTTCTCATAAGTTTTTACTTTTATCAATGTATGTCATACTGCAGTAGGACAAAAATGATATTGCATATTTAACACAAGTCTATAGTTTCTTCCCCTCTGAATTTTTTTTAAATTTGGGATATTTTATAATGTAAGACTTTTATGTTTTACTGCTTTTTACAAACTGACAGCATCAAGCTAACTTGTATCTGATAACAACTTCTCAAATAATATTAGAGTAAAAATAGATTCAGGGTTATCGATTCTGGTTAGATGAGTTTTCTTTACTGGTAAAATACTAGGTTGTTCAGACACGTTTGGTTATAATCCAGTTAAAAACAAAGACATTAATTTCGGCTACCAGAAACATTCTGTGATAAACTTACACTCCATTCTCAATAGAAAACTTGATGTGATAACTTTCTAATGTGAATAATGTGAATTGATATTTTAGTTGTTAGCCAAATTATTCTTGAAAATTTCTAAGTATTATTAAAGTTGATTATAAAGAAGCATGGCATTGGATAAAAAAGAAAAAAATCTGATTTCTTTTTGTTCGCTTGGCTTCATTGTAATTTTCTCTTTAGAATTTTATACTTTTATAATTATAATGAGATATTGAAACCGATTCTTCTAAATTATAAAGTAAAAGCATAGGATTTGAAATATCAAATTTAGATTTGTGGTGATATCTGGCTCATAGCAATGATATCTTAACAACAGATACTGATATTTTAGTGGTAAATATTAGGTAATATTTTAAAAATTAAGTGTACTTTTTTTAAAGTATCAAATTGGATGCCAAATAAGAGTAGTGCTATATATATATATATATATATATAAGGAGCTCTGGTAGCGTAGTGGTTACGAATTGGGCTGCGAACCTTAAGGTCAGCAGTTCGAAACTACCAGCCGCTCCGCGGGAGAAAGATGAGGCTTTCTACTCCCGTAAAGATTTACACCCTCGGAAACCCTGTACAGGGTCGCTATGGGTCGGAACCGACTCAACGGCACTTAACAACAACAACAACATACATATATATATATATATATATACACACACACACACATATATATATATATATGTTTGTTTTTCACACTTGGTGATTCTAGGTCATTTTCCAGAGCGGAGCAATCAGGGAGCAACAATGCATAATTTAAAAACAATGTGATTCCCTCAAGGATGAAAGATAAAGCATTCAAAACTTAGCTCCTCTCATCATAAACAGGAGCATAGTGATTCAATTAATTTTATTATCGATATTTAAACATTTTCTGTACACTGGTTTTGGTGTGGTGCTGTGTGGATTATTGAATGCGCTGGCCTGCAAAGTTGATTTGAATGACAAGGTTGGCGGTTCAAGCTCACCATTTGCTCCTTGGAAACCCTATACAGGGTTGCATGGGTCAGAACCACTCTAAGACTCTTTAAGAACAACAAGTGAAAGGAAAGGGATGGGGCCAGGGTGTAGAGGTATTAAGGGAGAACAGAAAGGCCTAGAGTTAGAGAATAAAGGAAAGGTCCAAGGTAAGGAAGATTGTTGTTGTAGTTAAGTGCCATCAAGTAGATTCTGACTCATAGTGACCTTCTATAGGGTTTCCAAGGAGCAGCCGGTGGGTTTGAACCACTGACCTGGTGATTAGCAGTCCAGTGCTTATCCTACAGAACCACACCAGGGCTCCAAGATTAGAAGGATGGAAACAGAGGAAGGAGAAAGAGAGCAGAGAGAGAAATGAAGGTTGTCTTTTTTCCTTAGTCTCCTCAAGATTTTGTCTATATATTAAATAATGACTGAGATTTTTATTACTTTAATACTATTTAATGTTATTTGAAATTGAGTCCTGGTATGGCACTGTGGGTTACTGCGCTGGACTGCAGAATCAGTTTGAACCACAAGGTTGGTGGTTCAAGCTCACTAGTCGCTTCTTAGAAACCCTATACAGGATCGCTATGGCTCAGAACCGACTCGACGGCACTCAACAACAACAACAAAGCTGTTATTTTAGAACTTGAAGATGTGTCTTCACAATTATAGCTAAAATCTCCTTATAAATCAGAATGTTCAAAGATTAGTTTAGTTTTTTGATGTTAAGATTGTTGTAGAAATATTTAAATATTGTTTTTGAAATCAGAATTTACTTTTATTGTCTAAACTTTTTTCCTGTAGCAATCTGAGATTTTGATGTATTTAAGACCTAATAGAAAAGATAAGAATCTACACTTTGGAGTGGGGAGGGTCTAGAGAGGAAAAAAAGTTCAAGTGTTAAGCATATCTCTGTCATTGCTATAAGTGAAACTACAGAGCTCGTAGGAAAAGACAAAGCTGCTGTGGTCTCCAAGATCCTGACTGACTCCTTTTAAACAAATGAACATAGAGACTCCCTATTTCTGTTACATAGCTTGTAAATAGTCATTCTCAAGGAGGGAGTAGTCCCTGCTTATCAAATCAAGAATCAGAATCAATTCTTCATATTCATTTTTAGAATTGTTACTTTAATCTAAGGTAGTAATTCCTAGTCCTTGTTGCATTCAGTTTGTCTTTCTTTATCTTGTGTGTGTGCCTGTTTTAGATCACGAAGAGCCCTGTGGTCCCCGCCAGAGGTCATTTTGCCTGAATGGGGGAATTTGTTATGTGATACCTACTATTCCCAGCCCATTTTGCAGGTGAGTGAAATAGGCTCAGGAGAGGGTTGTTCTATTTTTTTATCATCCACTGACTTCTTTGAAAAATGATAAGAAGTGAACAAAAAGTATAGGATGAAGAAGTATGAGGAATGTTCTTTATTTTCACATAGAACAAATTAAGTTGTATGTAAATATAAATTTTTTATTTTATATAGAAAGTTTTATTTTTTAAGACACAACAAAGTAACAGATCAAAATCTCACTCGCCGAGGTGTTTATTCTGAAAGGTGGTACTATTCATTTCTAACCTAGTCACATTTCATTTCTAACCTAGTTACATTAAAAAAAAATAATACATTTCAGTGACTAGATAATGTTAGCACTTTAGGGAAGACCATCTCTGTTCGACATTATAGTGACGAAATAGCTAGGAAATTCACTAATGTAAAACAGTCTGTTATGGAATCTTTTGCTTTGATTTTAGAATACATGATATACACTTGTGTTGCTACCAAACCTTACTTGCTAAAGCGGGGGAAAAAAAATTCTAATTCTTAATATAAAATTTAATTTTAATTTTTAAAATTAAAAAGCAGTCTTAGCTGCTATTGTAAATATGATTCACTTTATGAGTACAGATATAACCAGCGATCCCTAGAAGGTTTCAAAATAATGTTTGTGCAGCTGGCTTCCTGTGTGTTTGACTGGGTAGGATTTAAGGGGACGGAATACCTTAGTGCACGACTTAGCAACATGGTACTCCCATTGAGGCCCACGGACATGAGAAGAGAGAGGATCAGAGAATCTCAATGTATTTTTTAGCCTGTGTCTGAAAGTACTCTTGTTTTGTTCTTTAGCTTAAAGCAGGGGTGGGAGACATCTGGCCTGAGGGTTTTATAAGGCTGGTGAAATCCTTTGGTCTGGCCTTGCCAAGGCACCCGCTGTTCCAGTTATCACATTAGGGGCGAGTTTGTTAAACATAAGATCAAATAAAATAGGCTAAGTTTTAATTTGATAATTTTGTATGGCCCACGAAAGATGTTATAAATTTTGGCAGAAAAAAGGTTTCCCACCTCTGACTTACAGGACTTCAGATCTTACTCAAAAAAACAGGATAGAAAAGTAAAATTTCAAAACTAAAATAGGAAAAGTAATAGAAGTTGGAATTTACTCTGGAGGAGAGGAGTCAAAGGAATAACCTCATAATTGTCTCAAGAAGATTTTGGGGGATATTTTTTATAGAGAATAGTGATTAGATATTTTTCCTCCCAAGTGAGTATGTAAGGAAAGGGGTTGGAAGAGCAAACTAGCAATTATTTAGTGACCACCATGTGGTCTGAGATACAATCTTTGTATCATAAACGACAGTCACTTAAAGTACACAACTAATGACTGTTGACACATGTTTACATCTATAAAACTACCTTTACCACAGCAAGATACAGAACCTATCTGTCACCCCAAAAAGTTCCTCTGACAGCCCTATTCTTGGTTAATGTTTTTATGTTTCATTCCATAAAAGAGAAGGGGTACAGAATAGAGGAAATAGGAGGAAAACGAGAAAATAACGAACTTGACAAAGGACCTGAAGCTCTGAAGGAAAGAATGAACGCAAGCACAGCTCCTGAGGTTCATTTATTTATTCTAAAGCCTTGTCACATGGGTGTCACATGTGGCATCGATAAAATGAAACTAAAATGCTTATTAGAACAAAAGCATTTAATAATTCAGAGATTTTATATCTTGATCTGGGTGATAAGACTGAGTGTTAAGACTGTTCTTTGTCTATTGAATTGCCTTTGCCCCTTTGTGAAGAACATCAAGTGACTATATAAGTGTGGGTCTGTATACAAACTATTTTACTCCATTGATTATGTGTCTATTTTTTTGTCAATATCAAGCAGTTTTGATAACTGTAGATCTCTAATAAGTCTTAAAATCAAATAGCATGAATCCTTGACTTTGTTCTTCAGCTCACTGACTAATTCTAGCCTTCTTTTCTAACATACAGTATTTGCCATTAAAAATTTCCAAATACGTTTTCTGCATCTTACAAAATGTATGTTAACTTTTAAGTTAAAAAAAAATTTCCCGTTATGCTTTCTTCTTTAGCATAGGGATTTTTGTTAACTTTTTCTTATTTATATATAACTTAATTACATTGTGACCAGAATACTTAATACATTCAGCTGCACAAGCTGTTTGTATTATGTCTGTTATTCTGTTGTTAGCTGCCATCGATTGGATTCTGGCTCATGATAGCCTCTTGTGTACGGAGTAGAACAGCTCTATTGTGTGGCAACTGAAAGAAGTAATTCAGAGCACTGAAATTTTGAGTTACTGAAATGGAAAGAATTCTAGGTTGTCACCTACTTTTTTTTTTTTTGCTTTTTTAGTATCATTCAGTTATTATTTTGAGAACATATAGTCATTATATATTTTTAAAGTTTTTATTGAGTGATAGTTAACATGGGAGAAACATTGGTTTTACACTCATCATTTCATTGCAATGATTACAATCCTCTCCATGCATTATCATTCACAACAGTATTTACTTCTGTTCACTCTGGGATTTTTTTTTGCGGGGGTGGAGAGAGATACACAAAAACACTCAGGAATATGTAATAATTTAAACAACAAAAGGGCACATTTTGCAAGCCTACCTCCTGGCCACCAGCACACAACCTTTTTCTTTCCATGAATCTAGAGTTCTCAGTTGCTCTCTTTCTCCATGTCATCATCTCTGCCTCCATCTCATGTCGCTGCTTCTCTGGATATGGTCCCACATTCCGCTCGTGCTCTTCTCCCTTGATGGTCCTAGGGTCCTCTGTTTCTGGACTATAAGATTAACCACTCTCCCCTTTTTGTTACAAAACTTCTACCTTTACAGTTGTAGGTTATCACCGATTTTTGTACCTTGAATTAATGTGTTTATAATGTACTTTCAAAAAGTTACCAATGAAAGATGATGGGCTTCTAAACATCAGGTTTAAGAATGTCCCATTTCTTCCTAACATCAAACTGTGAGAGTTTGCTGTTAGTTCTGTTCCATTGTTTCCTCCTCGTGGTGATTCCATGTACAACAGCATGCTCCCAGTAACTGTACCATCTTTATGATTGTTGGCGGGCACTGTTGTAGCTACTGTGTGTTTGGAGTGCCTTCCAGCCAAGGGGACACATTTCCAGTACCGTATCAGACATTAGTCATTGACTAAGTAGAAGTAGATTGATAGGCCTTTCTTCCCGGTTTAACTTCCTCTGGAGTCTCTGCTGAAAGCTGTCCACCATGGGTGACCCTGTTGGTATTTGAAATACCAGTGGCATAGCTTCCAGCACCAAAGCAACATGCAAGCCACTAGAGTATAACAAACTGACAAATGGGTTGTTGATGTCAGGAGCTGATAAGTTGATTCTGATTCATAATAACCTATGTTCAAAAGATTGAAGTATTGTCCAGTCCTCCCCCTTCCTCACAACAATTGCTGTTTAGAGTCTATAGATGTAACAAGTGCCAGTCCATCTTGTTGAGGGTCTTCCTCTGAGCCTCTGCTTTTTCAAGCATGATGTCTTCCTCCAGGGACTGGTTCCTCCTGATAGCATGTTCCAAGTCATGAGACAAGTTTCACTGTCCTCGCTTGTATATAAGGAATATACAAGACAGATTTCTTCACCCATTGTGTATTTGATATTCTTTTAAAAAAAAATCAAAGGCATCCATTTTCTTTGGCCTTTATTATTCATTTCCAGCTTTGGCATGAATATGAGGTGACTGAAAAGACTATGGCTTGGGTGAGGCACACCTTAGTCCTCAAAGTGACATCTTTGCTTTTAACACTTTAGAGAACTTTTTTTTACAGCAGACTTGCTCAGCAGAATACTTTGTCTGATTGCTTGACTGTTGCTTCCATAGGTGTTGATTGTAGGACCATGTTAAATAAAACCATTGACAAGTTCAATATTTTCTCTGTTTTTCATGATGCTGTTTATTGGCCCAGTTGTAAGGATATTTGTTTTCTTTATGTTGAGGTGCAATCCATAATGCAGGCTGTAGTCTTTAATCTTCATCACTAAATCCTCTTTACTTTCAGCTAGCAAAGTTATGTCATCTGCATACCACAGGTTATTAATGAGTCTTCCTCCAATCCTGATGTGACAAACCTCATGTAATTCAGCTTCTTAGAGTATTTGCTCAGCATATAGCTTGAATAGATATGATGGAAGGATACAACCCCAGCACCCACCATTCCTGATTTTAAACCAAACAGTATCCCTTTCTTCTGTCTGCGTACAGATTCCTCATGAGCACAATTAAGTATTCTTCACAATGTTATCAATCATTTTTTTTAGCCATGCAATGTTTACATCACCAATAAAGCACAAGTTTTTATCCATGCAATGTTTACATCACCAATAAAGCACAAGTTTTTATCCATGCAATGTTTACATCACCAATAAAGCACAAGTAAACATCTTTCCGGTATTCTCTGCTTTCAGCCAACATCCATCTGATGTCAACCATCATATCCCCAGTTCCAGGTCCTCTTCTGAATTCGGCTTGAATTTCTGGCAGTTCCCTGTTGATGTACTGCTGCAAACCTTTCTGAATTAACTTCAGCAAAATTTTACTTGCATGTAAAACAAGTTCATGAGAGTTTAAATATGACTTTGAAAACATTCTGCCTGAATTTAGAGACTATCTCAAGAACAGATTTGATGCATTAGACACTAAAGACCGAAAACCAGAAGAGTGTGGGATGACATCAAGGGCATCATACAGGAAGGAAACAAAGAGTCATTTAAAAGACAGGAAAGATGCTACTACCATTTACTGCTCTGGTGTGGCGCTGTGGGTTAATCCACCAGAGTGCAAAACCATTTGAACTGCAAGGTCAACAGTTCAAGCTTCCCAGCTGCTCCTCAGAAACCCTAGACAGGGTCCCTATGGGTTGGAACTGACTTGACAGCACTTAACAACAACAACAAGGGATCACAGATAGAGGGGGGAATCTATGTAGAACAAAACTCTAAATTTTATTT